CTTCTCTGGCCGACCTGCACCTTCGGAACGAGTTGATTTACCCCGGATCTCGTCCAGAATCTGGCGATGTCCAGCCTCGACCATCTCACTCTCTACCAGGTGGCGGGCGTCTGCGTCTTCGGCCACTCGACGCCAGCGAGTGACCCAAACGATTTTATCCCGGTTGGTGACCAATTTGGCGACAAGGTCGGGGTTCTCGTAGTCGAACAATTCCATCAGGTCGTTTTCAACATCACGTAGCGGCCGCTCCGCGCCGTCCTCGCCCTGACCACCAAGGATCTCAAGTGCTTGTGTAGCCTTTTCATGCTGTATGTGGGCATCGGAATATGCGGCACCGATTTGACGCTGAAGCCAATAGGCATCGATCTCCCGGGCAGGTACCGTTGATCCCTTGTCTCGTCGATCTGCATCCCGACCCAAGCCACCATCTATTACCATCTCTTCGGCCTCCTCAAGACCATCGAGATCCGCCTTCTCAGTGGTTGTCTCGTCGATTCCCGTAGCTTCTTGTTGATCGGCCTCCTCGTCCTCTGACAGTTCGTCGTCATCGCGTATCTCATCCACAGTGCCCATGCGCTCGTCGTCCTCATCCTCCTCATCGAAAACGACGGCAACACCTTGGCGCTCGTCCAATTCGCCTTCACCTTCACCTTCCAAGCCTTCGCCCATTTCTTCATCTTCGTCCTGCGCGTCGTAGTCTGTAATCTTCTTGCCGAGGTTAACGAGCTCATTGAACTCCTTGGGGTTCATCGAACTTCCGAGCAGGTCATCGATCTCCTTCTTCTTGTCGAAGTCCTTCATCTCTTCATCCTTCAGCAACTCCAACACTGCATCAGCGGCACTTCGGACCACTTCGTGGGGGACGTCGCCAAGGTGGGTCGCGGTCATGGTGAGAATAAGGTCGTAGGTAGCTCGGGTGGCAGGCGTGCGGGGACGGTACTTGAGGCCCTCAATGAGGGCATCTGCGGCAGAGAGAATCCCCTGGCCTCGTAGTTGTGCCGGTTGACCCCGTTGGGTCTTCCTCTGTTCACGGGCAAGCACATCCTCACCCTCTCGAATCGCACCGCGTTCAATGTCCGTCGGGCCGACAGTCTTCTTCTTCGTCTTAGGCGCATCATCACGCGCCATCCTGCCGCCCATCTCCCGAATACTTATGCGACCAGCGAGCGACTCTGGGTCTCCGGTGGGTTCATCGTTGACGCGAGAGATAAAACGACGGTCCGCCTGGAGAACCAGGTTGGACATCGCCGAGTACTTATATTGAGAAATATTCTGGTCCGCCATTTTGATGGTATATTATAACAAAAAACAATAGAACAAATGGTAAAGCGAACGTGCTGCGACGGTAATGTGTCGACTGGGCTCGGTGGAGCTCAGGTTCAGCCGGCGCGTCGAGACACCTGCGACAAGTAATGAATTTCGTGACGGTATGGGATCCTAAAAGGCTTCACAAACCTGGACCATCCTCCGGCAGCAAACAAGCACAGGGGTCGGCGCAAGGTTGCAAGCTGCTTGGGAGGAATTGGAGGAGTTTGAGTGAGTTGCGTTAGAGAGGTCGCGGGAAGTTCTTGTCAAGCAGATTTGCGTGGCAAGGCGGGAAGGTTTGGCGAGCGGGAGCCTGAGGTATACACCCGCTCTTTTCTGCCGCGCTTCTCGGCCTGTCATCACATTGTATAGTTGCTTGTTCCCTTTCTCTCAACGCGCCGAAGACAACGCGCTGTTTCGGGATGATGCGCGCTCATGGACTACATATGTCCTACCTATGTCAGTCCCAAGCCCGTTCAATTGCTAGACCTGACATATTCCCACCATATCGTTGCCATGTACACAGGACCATCTGCCATCATGCCCGGCGACCGTCCACGCTTCTCCCCAAGGTAACTTGTTACTCGGTGCCGCGGCGAGGTGCCAAAACGAAGACTACTGTAAAGTTGAAAGATCTGCCCCAGGGGGCTTTGAAGCTGCAGCCTTATCAGGAAGTGGTGGATGATGCCCCCAAATATCCGGCTGTCGTCCAAGGACATTGGAACAATATGCAGAAGTTCAAAAATTGCGTGATCTTGACTAGAGTAGGCGGCTTCTACGAGGTACGACTACCATCTTTATACTTCTTCTAGATCCGTGGAATACAAATCTTTTAGAGAGTATCCCTGACCTTATTTTAGCTCTATTTTGAGCAAGCTGAAGAGTTCGCCCCGTTGCTCAACCTTAAGCTTGCCTCCAAGAAGACCAGTGCTGGCCCTGTTCCTATGGCTGGTTTTCCCTTCTTCCAGCTAGACCGTTTCCTAAAGATCCTTGTTCAGGACCTGAACAAGTACGTGGCTGTTAGCGAAGAATTTCCGAATGCCGCAGAAGACAAGCTCCGATCCGGAGGTCTTCTCTTCGATCGTAAGGTGGCCAGAATCATCACACCTGGCACATTGATCGATGAGAAGTTCATGGATCCTTCCGAAAATAATTTTTTGTTGGCCGTCTACATTGATAAGTCTTCGCTGAAGGAGCAGTTGAAGCATCAAGATGCCTCATCCTCGCAACAGCACGTCCTATTATCCGCATCCCAAAACGTAGGCTTGTCCTGGTTGGACCTCTCCACAGGCGACTTCTTTACGCAAGTAACTACAGCACAAATGCTACCGTCTGCTGTCGCCAGGATTGGCGCCCGAGAGATACTCGTGGACCAAGGTCTCCAGGATGTAGTCGGACAGGAGCTGCAGTTATTGATTGGACACGACCAAAGATTGATGACTTTCTTTCAATTTCCGAAAAAGGTTGCGCCCATGGCCCGATGGGAAGCTATGCTTGAAGCCCCTGTGTCAGACGCCGCCGCAGAAACATTTACGCGTGAAGAAGTTGCCGCCGGGTATAGTCTTTTAGAGTATATCCGGGTTCAATTGCAAGGCTTGAATATGAAGCTTCAGCCTCCTCGTCGCCGACATTTGGACGAGTCAATGAGCATTGACCGGAATAGCTTGAGAGGTCTAGAAATACTGGAGACTGCCCGTGATGGCTTTGGGAAAGGAAGCCTACTTCATGCAGTACGGCGGACTTCTACCAAGAGTGGAGCACGTTTGCTGAGAGACCGTTTAAGTATGCCTAATAATATCCCTTAAGCATTCTCGAAAGTCTAACATTGTGGCAGCGTCGCCTTCCACTTCTCTATCGATAATCAACGAACGGCTTGACCTTGTTTCGATATTCATCGAAGACCGTGATCTGCATGACAACGTGATTCAGTTTCTCAAACGCAGTTATGATGCCCAACGTCTAGTTCAGAAATTTACACTTGGTCGGGGTGACCCTGATGATTTGATTTGTCTTTCGAAGGCAATTGAAGCCTCCAAAGAAGTCCGACAAGTTCTATCAAGGAAGTGGCATAGCAAGGTTGATAGTCAAACCAAGCGCAGCATTGAAATTATGGTCGACCGAATCCACATGGATGGGCCTACAGTCTTAGCTGACAAAATCCTGGCAGCAATTGACGAGGAGGGTCTGCTGCAGAAGCAGCGCATTGAAGACGACACAGCTGCAGAAGCAGCACTTCTAGCACAGTCCGTCACGATGAATGAGGGTATACCAGAGGACATGGCTGCACTACCGAAGAAAGTCAAGACAAAAAATAGTGATCGGTCTAACGCAGCTGCGGATGAGGGAACGATTGCCGATACCTGGATCATGAGACGAGATGCAAGCCAAGCTTTAAGTGGACTCCATCAGGAGTTAGAGCAATTACATACAGCAAAATCAGAGCTAACACAGCATCTTCGCGAGTCGGTGGGTTCATCTGCTCTAACTCTCAAGTGGACTCCGGGTTTAGGTCACATATGCCATGTCAAGGGGGCTAAAATCACCCAAGAATCATTGGAGGAGCTTGGGGTAACACGGAATGTTTCGGCCACCAAGTCGACGAGGTCGTTCTACTTACCAGCATGGACAGAGCTAGGCGGTCAGATGGATCAAGTGAGGACTCAAATTCGTCAAGAGGAACAAGTGATCTTTGAGCAGCTGCGTCGGGAGGTCATCCTCAATCTTGTCAAAATCCGACGCAATGCAGCCGTTATGGACGAACTCGACGTCGCATGCTCATTTGCCACATTAGCGCAGGAACAGCAACTAGTTCGCCCGATTCTCAACGAAGGCACGAGCCACAAGATTGTGGGCGGACGTCATCCCACAGTCAAGCTTGGACTTGAGGAGCAAGGCCGACGGTTTGTCAGCAATGATTGCTTTCTCGGAGGCCCAGAGCGTATATGGCTTGTGACTGGTCCCAACATGGCAGGTAAAAGCACATTTCTGCGACAAAACGCACTCATCACTATACTAGCCCAGGTCGGGTCATTTGTCCCTGCGGCATACGCAGAGATTGGCTTGGTTGACCAGATCTTCAGTCGCATCGGAGCCGCTGATGATCTGTTCCGAGACCAGTCCACATTCATGGTGGAGATGCTGGAAACAGCAGCTATTCTCAAACAAGCAACCTCGCGCTCGTTTGTCATCATGGACGAGGTCGGGCGTGGGACCACGCCAGAAGACGGAACTGCCGTCAGTTTTGCATGCTTGCATCACCTGCATTATCACAACAAATGCCGGACACTGTTTGCGACTCATTTCCATGTCCTTGCCGACATGACCCACGACTTTGACAACCTCGGCAGATACTGCACCGATGTCAAAGAATCTGCTTCTGGTTCTTTCTCATTCGTCCATCGGCTACGCAAAGGTGTGAACCGCGAGTCGCATGCATTGAAAGTCGCTCAATTGGCCGGACTGCCCAGGGAGGCAATTGAAATGGCAAAGAGCGTGCGTCAGCGATTCTCTAATCAAAACAACAGCCCACAATGGGATGAGAACTCAGCACCAAAACATACAGCAAACGGAGCCTGAAACTGTCCATACCATCAGTAATTTCATATCATTCACAATCTATGTACAATAGCCATTTTGATAAGAAGGTACAATGAACCTTATCCCCCCTAGAGCTTCGACCCTTACCATAACCGTTTTCATAGCTTCGCCAGAGCCTTCTTAGTTCCCTCGCCCGATACTTCTACAGCGATGCCCTCCCCAAACCTCACCTCCTGACAATCCTCATCCCCAACCCCATTCATAAACTGCACCACCACAAAATCCACCCTCCTCTTCCCAATAACCACCATAGGCGCATGCCACGTTCCCGCACCATATGTAACAGCCTGGCCACCTCTAGCCACAAAGGCCCTCAAGCGACTCAAATCCGGCGGATCAACCACAGTTACAGTCTTCCCATCGTCCGTCCTCGCAGTAGCCGTAGTGCCCTTCAATGATGGCGCCACAATAACCAAGTAGAACGGCTCCTCCTCCACCTCACCTCCCGCGCCTGTTGTCTTCACCTGACTCGACAAATCAATCGGGGTGAAAGTTTGCGTAGTGTAGGGATGTCTTTCCAGAATGCGCACATCAAACACATTCACGTTCTTATGGGCGACAGTGCGGAGTTTGCGCGGAAAGCACGAGAACATCGTCATGCGGGCGGAAGAGGGCTGGCCGCTCGGAGCGGTGGAGTAATTATCAGTCATTGGACCGATCGGGCTGTACTTCAGGGCGGAGGATTGGTTGGCGAGGACGGGGACTGGCGATAGCGTTTTCAGGGTACTCTCTGGTGGAGGAGTGGTGATATTGCGAGCTAGAGGAGATGATATGGCTGTGCCGAAATCGGAGAAGGCCTCTGGGGTGAGGGGAGCGGGGGTGAGGTTGAGGAGTGGACTGGTGGTGAGGGTCGGTGGTGGCATTGTTGTTGTGTTGGAAGTATATGTTCTTATTCGGGTTATTTGCAAGGAAAAATAATGTACAATGTGAAAGAAGGATTGAAGGTAGGGGACCTGCCCGAATGGTTGAATTGAGTGGTTTGATAGATGGGGAATGAGAGGAGAAGGGCGGGATGGGGTGATGATTTGTTATCTAAGTACCCCAGAAGGGCATCGGGAGTCGCCGTCATAGTGTTGACGCTAAGATCGGCGGTCGGAAGGGCCCGACGTCAGATTGATTGGGTTGGAGAAGAGGAGTAGATCAACATTGCTCTGCTATAGAAGGGGTCTTTTCATCATTGATAACATCATTTGTGGGACATGGGAGAGATCCCAATTCTTGTTCTGGGAGATGTATTTTTGGAAGTAGTTCTTCCTCCTTACCGGAAGTTTAGCCCTCTTCCCGGGCCCGTCACTTGCATTCTGGCACATTGAGATGCGGGTCGCAATGCAAGGGATGACGGGCGTTTAAAAGGTTAACAAGTGTCATTTAATGACCGCATTATCTCTTGATTTGTCCCGGTTTCAATGGTTGGTTACTTCCAAATGTGACCTATCTATAAGGTCAGGTGATCAGGTTCCTCTACTTTCCTCTTTCCTCTATCTCTTCCGTTTGTCTTCACCTCTTCGGTTTCGCTTATACGCTGTTGTTTGAGTTCTCATACGGCCACTGAATATTTTCTCAGTGGTTTCACAATTGAACTCAGAGCAATACAATTCGCGATCATATCAAGTGTGTGATAGATCTCAGATACACGCAATCCAGCAGCATTGTTTAGCTCCGAATATATATTCAGAGAGAGTACTATGCACACTAGTACTGCCAGCCATCCAATTGATGCTGGCAGATGAAGAGCTGAACAGTACTGGATTCCTTCATCAACGCCTTAACACACAGACACACCAATTTGTCTTCCTAGTAGCGAAACCATCAACTCCTTCCCTTTGATGCTTTATTCTCCAGAATATTTTGCTAGGATCCGTCAGTTCCTTTGGACATGCATGATCGGCTGAGTCAGCCAATAGACTGCCACGTGAGGCTAAGCCTCTGACTAATCGGGGCGATCCATCGGGGCTGGCAAAAAAGCCAAAAAACCGACGAGTAAAACCGACTTCACGGTAGTGGATCGGCAGTGGAATCTCCCGGTCTTAAAGGCTGAAAGCGTTATCGCGCTTCGCTTGGGCTCCACAGAGACTCGTCAGTAGTTCGGATTTTGGATGCCAGTTTGTCTGGGCATCTTTCTCGGCGCAGGCTTGTCCAATGCTTTGTGGAAAACGAGTGGATTCTCCCCCTCAAATTATGCAATCAAAATGAGTATACTCATCAGCTGCCAATTGATAGTCTGGAAAACACACTACTGAAACTCGGTCTTCACCGGGATTCTGGTCTCCTTATATTTCTTGGATCAATAGTGTGACGCACCAGGTACCGGAAAAAGAATTTCGAGCTAGCCTTAGCTGGATTGAGGTCGGACTTAAGGCATGCAAAATTTATTCGGACAAGAAATGGCAGATTGTTGGTTGACGTACGCTGGTGCGGAGGGTGACGACTCCGGCTTAGGCAGTCACTTTTTGTTGGCGCCAATCCAGTCTCATAAGGTGAACTCTTTGCCCACCAGTTCTGATCCAGTCAAAGGCGTTGAAATGCCTTCCCCAGTTCGCTAGTCTTTGCCTCCTGTTCGCTTTCGGATTTCCGTTCCTTATCTTGTATCGATATCCTGTGATTGTGCCGTCGTGATCTTCCTTCCAATGGCGGGGAATCAGTGGCTACGATGTGTGCTGGTTCTGGCCCTGGCGGTACTTGGGGCCCAAGGTATCAGTCTTGATATCAGCAGCGAGGGTATGTGAATTTTAAGCCGTGGTAGCTAATCGGGCCTGAGATATGGTTGACGGGCTCGATCTCCGCAACTCAACCGCAGATGAACCTAACCGCTCTCGTTCACAGATTCGATTAAGAATGCAGCATCAACCGCCGCCTACGGCATGATGAAGCATTACAAAGGAAATGAATCTGGCGAAATTCCGGGCAAGATCCCCAATACTTGGTGGGAAGGTGGCGCCATGTTCATGACGCTCATGCAATACTATCACTACACGGGGGATTCCACCTACAACCAGGAAGTCATCCAGGGCATGCAGTGGCAGTCGGGCGATTGCGATTTCATGCCGGCGAACTGGAGTAGCTACATCGTGAGTTCCTCGCCTAATGGCTGCCCCTTCCCCAACTAATCAAGGCATCCAGGGAAACGACGATCAAATGTTCTGGGGTTTGGCCGCTATGACTGGTGCCGAACTGAACTTTCCCGACTCTAGCGATGGATACTCCTGGCTTTCGCTGGCGCAGGGTGTCTTCAATACCCAGGTCGCCCGCTGGGATAATTCTACCTGCGATGGGGGTATGCGGTGGCAGATTTACACCTACGAATCCGGTTATACCATGAAAAACGCCATTTCCAATGGTGGTCTGTTTCAACTGTCGGCTCGGCTGGCGCGCTATACTAGCAACCAGACCTACTATGACTGGGCAGAGCGCATCTGGGACTGGTCGACCACGACGCCGCTGTTGAGCAACTCAACCTGGAATGTCGCTGACTCGACATCGACGACAAACGACTGCAGTACCCAGGGCGATAACCAGTGGAGCTACAACTACGGTGCTTATCTTGGAGGAGCTGCATACATGTACAATTACGTAGGTGGGCCCACCGCATCGAGAAACGATCAACTCCTAACCTATCACAGACCAACGGTACCAGCACCAAATGGATGAACGCCGTCGATGGCCTGCTGAATCGCACGTTGAACAAGTTCTTCCCGGCGAGCCACGGCGGTGAAATCCTAACGGAGATTCTATGTGAACCGACAGAGGTGTGTAACGACAACGAAATCATCTTCAAGGGTCTCGTGTCTGCCTGGCTCGCCTACACTGCCCTACTGGTTCCGTCCACCTATAATAGAATCCTGCCCAAGCTGCAAGGATCTGCCCAGGGCGCTGCCGCAACCTGCACCGGGTATGGTAACAACACCTGCGGCGTGCGATGGTGGAACAGTACCTGGGATGGCTGGAGCGGACTCGAGGAACAAATGAGCGTTACCAGCGTCTTCTCGTCGAATATGATCGCCTTCAACTCCTCGTCTGCACCGTTGACTTCCAGCACGGGAGGCAACAGCACCAGCAACCCGTCGGCCGGAACCGATGACAGCTCCGATGACAAGACCATTCTCAGCACGATCACCACGGGAGACCGCGCGGGAGCGGGCATCGTGACAGTTGCTTTTGCTGGGGGTTGGATTGGCTTGATGGCATGGTTGATGCTCGGTTAATGATACCATAATTGGCGTTATTTTTGTATATATTGTGTAAATAATTAGACGAAGATATGTCTGCAAAAGCATCATTGCAAACACTATTAATATATGAGAAGAGGATTCATATGGCAGTGTTCGGGTGTATTGCTATTAGAGCGTTTTGTATGTACATGCAATTGCTAATAATTGTATCGCATCCATCAACTGCCAGAAACACGGTATGATGTATGTATGGTATATAAACTAAAAACGGCATAAACTTTTGATTATTTCAAGGGACAATAGGTATTGTTTGCCAGGTGAAAATTATCACACAACACAAAACATCCCTCTGCAAGGGAAATGACCTACTGCTCCAACACGGGCTGCTTCTCCTTCAGCCCCGTCTTCGTCTCCACATGCTCCTCGCTAAGATGCTGACGAGTGATAAACACACTAGCAACGAACCCACAAGCAGCGAGACAAGCATACATAATCCACATATTACGAAGACTCCACGCATATGCATCCGCCACAGCGTGTCGCTGAGTCGGATCCTGGACCGCGCGGACGGCATCAACATTAGCTGCCGCCTCTGTGCCAGAGAACTCAGCCAATAGCGACGAGGACAGCCCCGCAGCCTTGAGACCGTCCTGTCGCATGTCCATGCTGTTCTGGAACACGACACCCCCGAGCACTACGGACATGGCCATTGCGACGTTGCGGATGAAGCCGAAGGTGGCGGTTGCGCTGGCGGTGTTGGCCTGGGTGATGTTGCTTTGGAGGGCGAGGAGAGGCGGGAAGAAGAGCATTCCGCAGCCCATGCCGGCGGTGATTTGGTACCCGACGATTTTTCCGAGGGAGGAGGTGGCGCTGTAGTTGGTGAAGAGGCCTACTCCGAGAACTACAAGGGCGGTGCCGGCCCAGATGATTTCGAGGTAGCGGCCCGTGCGGTGGATGAGGAGGCCGGAGAAGAGACTGAATGCTGCTTCGGTTAGGACGAAGGGGAGGATTAGGACGCCGGAGCGGAATGGGGTGGATTCTTTGGCGGATTGGAAGTAGAGTGGGAGGTAGTATTCTGCTCCGAGGTAGGCCTGGTGGGAGGGGGAAGGGTTAGTGGTGTGATTGATGTGAGAGGTTTGTGGGTGGAGGGTCGTACAAAGCCATGTGTGAAGTCGACTAGGAAGCAGGCGACGTTGGACCGGTTCCTGAATACGCCAAGGGGCATGAGGGGGTATTTGGCTAGCTTCTTCTCACTGTAGATGAAGGCGAACGACATCAGACAGCCGAAGACGATCAGGCAGATTACCTTGGGGGAGCCCCAGGGGAATGTGGCGCCGCCAAAGTCTAAGCCTAGCAGAAGTAGGATGATGAGTGCGAGCATGGAGAAGCTTCCCCACCAATCCACGGCCTTGATACCGGCCAGGACGGGGGTCCTTGGATTGTGTATATCCAGGAACACATAGAGCAGCACAAAGGCCGTTCCACAGACGGGAAGATTGATCCAGAAAATCCACCTCCATGAAACAGATTGGGTGAAAGCCCCACCCACGATCGGCCCCAAGGCACCAGCGATGGCCCAGATGAACTCGATCAATCCGAGGAACAGACTGCGGAGTCTATCTTAATGTCAGCTACATACCAGAAAAGATAAGAGGTGTGAGCAGTACCTGACGCTGAACAAGTCAGAAATGGTG